CTACTTCGTACGGCACTACGTTGCCTGGCAGACGGATATGTGACCAACATACCACTCTTGAACCCCGATTCTTGCATGCAGAGAAGTATATAAACACAGTGAGTTAAAAAGGTGACTGAAGAAGAAACACTCAGAGCATCGTAGGAATCCCCCAGCAGCCTAGACCTATTGCAGAGCCAGAGGGTCCAAACCCCATCGCCATTTGGGCCAGAGCCCAAGGGTCCTGAGCTCGCCCATGCCACATGAGCTGTGGGTTTCTGAGCCAGCACCATCTGTGCTGCCAGAGCCCGAGGGATGTATTCAGTTTGGTCCTGCTTCATCTCGTTCTGCTCTGTCTGTGCCAGAAGGTCATCCCTTCCGTCACGGCAAACCGCCTGAGGAGTTCCGTCTCTGTCGCTGCCGCTGGCCACTTGCAAGACTGCCTGAGGTGTCCCATTGCCCAGAGTCTCCGTCACTGGCCGTGTCTCCTCTGTCGTTGGCTTTCAGAGTTTCTCCATCTTTGCCATCAGCCTCTTGGTCCACCATTTAATCTTTACCTCCACTCACTTCCTCTTCTTTATTTCCAAAGTCATCCTACAGCTACTATCTCATGCTGCCTAGCTACAGTCTCCCCTGACATCACCCCACCCCATGCAGTCTCCCATCTCTTTCCGATTGCACCTTCTGTACAAGATGTAGTTCACCTGTGTGCATCATCCTCCACTTTTACAAGTCACACTATGTTCCTCCCTCTTCTTGAAGTACATGTTCACCACAGACATTTCTATCCCATCACTATCTGACTTTCTATAGTTCTCCCCTTAACATCATGTCTGCTCAACACCTCAGTTTGAACAGGTGTGATGTTTCACCTGTTACCTTCACCTTTATGTTCTTTTTAGGTCTATGTCAATCACTACCCTCTCCCCACTGGAAACACTCTGTACCACTTCATCCAACTTCAGAATTCCCCTCCAATCATAGGATCCTGTTGGTCCTACGTTTGGAGATGGCCGAGTTTGTAAACAACACAATTATACAGATTTCAGATTGCTTTCCCTCTTAAGGATCATATCATGATGATTATTGTGGGGTCTTTACCTTACAATATAAAGCCCCTTAAGACAGCTGTTGTTGTAGTTTGGCAGTTTAAAACTAAAGTTGAACTGAATTGAATTGAAAGTCCCCAGGGCTTCCTGGGTGACTCACTCACCCATGGGCCATGTCAGGCCTTGGAAATAATATATTCATTGCAATCGCATTTGTCAATTGTGGGTGTATACATTCAATCCTGGTTGAACCTACTTTGATTACCTTTTCCAGAACTGAAATCTCAACTTCCATCTTCCCATCAATCAACTTATTGTTCATGGTTAGACTCTTACTGTCTACGCGCCAAAGTCCAAGGGATCTTTCAGGAATGGTAGTGGAACTGATTTTTGACCTATTATTTTCTTATCTCAAACACAATGTTTTACAGAGCAGGTTAGGTCTGCAGCATGGCAACATAGCCTATTAAGAAATGATCTATCTTTGCAACATCTAAATCCCAAGTTTAACCCTGAAGTTAGCTTACTAAGCCACAAATCTTAGCTCTGGTCTTTATAGTTCTGGCCTCCATCTCTCATGCCTTTCTGCTTTAGAGTGAGGTGGAAATAAAATGAACCCTGCCAGAGTTTGATCAATGGTTTTAGCAGGCAAAACTTCAGTAGTAGCTAGCTTGTTTTTGAGTGCTGCTAATGAACACTGAAAGTTATGCCACACACAGTCCTACTGCCAGACTGTAAACTACTGCTGAAAAATAATCCCTGAACAAGAAAGAAATTACTCTGCAACCCTTAAAAACTATATTACACACTTGTGACGTGTATTAGTGTGTTTGGTATAGGTAGAGTAGGTCATCGACTAATTGAAAGTTTGGTAGTCTGATTCCTGGCTGCTCCAGTCTGCCTTTTAAATATCCTTTAAAAGGCAGACTCTGGTAACTCCAAGGTGCTCTTTGATGCATCCATCACAGTAGAAATGTTAGAAAGCACGCCGTAGAAAAAGCATAGTGCTTTTATGAATGAGGCATGCTGAATAAAGCGCCAAGTACTCAGGTAGAGTAGAAAAGTGCTATAGAAGAACCACTCCATTTAGTATATTGTTCAGTCTTGCAAAAACACATTCAGTTATAGTGAGCAGGTTTGAGCTCCTCTGGACCAAAACAGGCAACCAGTTTTCCAGATTCCATCTAATGTTTTTATTGTGTTGTCAACACAAGGATGAATACACCGTTCCAGTTGCAAAAAACTGGCATGAAGCAGACACAAATGTGTGGAATGATTTGTGAAAACATTAAAACAGTCTATGGCTTACTGAGCATGACACTGAATCTACATACAAATTCAAATCAACTCACTGACAGTTGGAGCAAAAAGCTTTTTCTTGTATATAAATATAAAAGGGGAAAGGAAGGCCACTATGGGCCTAAAAGGAAAGATAAAGTCTCTTTCACCGAGACAGCTTAGCACTCAACAGAGTTATACATATCCCATTTTCTGTTATGGCACCAGTATCAAAGCATGCCCTGGACTCGCTGGTTTCCATTGCAGATGCTTCACCTCAAATAGGTTTATGCAGCTAGTAGGCATTGAACCAACAAGTAGAATAGAATATAATTAAACGGAAAAAAAAAGACTACAAATTAGAGATAGTTGTTGACTGTCACATGAGGTATTGTGGATCAAAGCATTTCTGTACATTGTCTCATTTTTCCTTGTTTTTGGAATATTATGGAAAATTTTTCTGTAGTTATGAACAAAAAAAAGATCATAGAATACACAAGAAAAATAAACAAATGAGGATGTCAATAACAATTTCTATGAGAAAGTTCAATCCTAAAATGGCATTATATCGACATATGTATAAAACAACCAAAATGTAGCAGCAAACAGGAGAAAAGCATGGTTTTTAATCAATTTTTTAAACATGTAGCTGGAATTTATTTTCTATAGCAGCGGAATACAAGGAGTGTTTCTCTCCTACTCTATCCTTAATGTACAATCAGAAACCTATTTTACAAGGTTCCTACACAGTGTGACATGCTCACAGAACTCACGTTTCCCACGCTTTGACTCCATGTAGTAGAGAGCTCTCCTTGCTCATGGTAATCTGTCCATCCGTATGTATAAAGTATATATCAACCTGAACATGACAACATCCCCGTGCTGTGTAGGAGCCCTTGTATGAAATATACAGCAGTAAGACGCACCCCATTGGTGAGCCCTCAAACTTTTGCTGGCTTCGCTTCCCTTTTTCCTCTAGGCAAGTCCCAAAAAACGCACACCACGTCTTTTAGGTTTGTGCAAAATCAAGTTAATATTTTCACCACTCTCTTTTTTTAAGCTTCATTGCCCTCATAATCTATGACACGTATGTGAGCTGGGCTACAGCAATGGAGAAGAATTACAGAGACTAGTTGCAGTTTGACCTGTTCTGGAGGAAGAAATAAGCTTGAATTTAACATCAGGTCATGAAGCCATGGTCAGCATGAACCTACAAAGATAAATAATATGTTTTACTATACAAAAATGATTTGAACTATTAAAATAGTACTTTTTACGTTTAGCTCTGGGCCTTTAACATTTGGCTTTGCACACATTTAAACCTATAAAATCATGACATCAGAGCAGCTCTACCTGTATGAAACACTGAGAACTGGAAGGCAGCTACAGCGAGCCACGGTGCTGAGCAGCTTTCTGCCACAGTGCTCAATTCTGTGTCCCACACCATGAATCAGATCCAGGCATAACTGGGTGTAACTGTCAGCAAGTACTCCCCACACTCTCCATCATCAAAAGACTGTTTTCATATTGTTTTACAAACTATCACTGTGACTTCTAGCTGAGCCAGCATCACTGACCAAAAGTGCTTTTCTTTAGAAAACAAAGTTGGAATGAATTACGTCTAACTACACAGAGAAAGAACAGACTGTGGACTGCTCTGTTTATATTTGATTTTATCAAATAACAGGTAAATGGGTAAAGCAAAAATCAAAGATTGACCAAAGAATTTCCCTAGTCCAAACCTTACAATAGCAGTCCAAAGTCTTTAAGGGTGATAGAATGTGAGCATCTCACCCTACGTTTGCTTTAAGACAAACAAACAAACAAGCTTTGAAGAACAGAAGCATAAAACTAACTAACTGAGAGGTTTAAAATGATACATAATAAAGTGACTAAATATAAGCAAGCAGGGTATATGAGTGTCTGCACTACAAGACAAACATGGAAACTTGGGCAGGAACTCTAAAGCATTCCGACATAACAGAAAACGAAGTAAAAGACGAGCCTCTTGCTTTCACGTGAAGCCCTGATGACAGACTATGAGAACCTACTGTACATGACACTTTGGGATGTTTTAGTAGGCATGCTCAGTCTGCTTTAATTGAAAGATTCCTAATTAACTTGTGAGGGAATAAGAAAAACATTTGCCTCTGTGGCTTCAGCTCCAGCCCCACAGAGCTCATTGATATTCAGTGTCTGTTCTCTCTGGTACATCTCTGTAGAGTTCATTTCTTTTCCTGGCCTGGGAGGGGACGCTGGCAGGACATGTGACAGGGGTGAGCATGGTGAGCATCCTATCTTGGCAGCCGTAGTGGACAGCAGGCATGTGAGTGACACGCTGGAGGAGGAAGGGAGGGAGGGAGTTCAAGTGGGGTGCCCCATCCCTGGTCCGCCCGTTACCACCCTCTGACAACTTTCCCTCCATCACTGCTCATTGTGCGACGTAGGTCTGGGTCGCCTCAGATGTTGATGTCTCTGACGTCTGTTGGGGTGCAGGACAAGTCCGCGTCCTCGTCAACTCGTTTAGTTTCTGTTGTGCCATTGTGCTGTTGTGCCTGTCGCAGGCTAGACTCCAGCAGAGACTCTATCTGCTCCTGACATGACCGCAAGCAGTCCTGCAAGCACAGAATTGAGACTGAGTCAAGACCAATTGCACTGCAAACATCAAATAAGTGACAAAACGTTTCCATACCGGGTCGCTACGAATGACCTGCGACAGGAAATTAGTGAGGTTCTGGGAAGACAAGGACGCATCTTGGCTCTTCAGGTAGAGCCCTTGAACAGCTGCTGCTACACTCCCTGCTGCCACCATTGAGGGAGGGCTGGCAATGAAGTTGACATCTGTTAAAACAGCACAACAAAGTTTTCCAGGGATGAAAACAACTGCACGCTCATTGCTAACCTGAGAAACTCAGAACTCTGTTTTCTGCTCACACACACACACACACACACACACTAAGGACAAAGTTCATGTCACACCTGTAGCACACAGTGCCACAAAGGTCTGGGCATGTTTCCTGAGGATCTGCTTGGTGGAGGGATAGATCTTCAGCTTGGACAGGAAGTGCTCGATGAAGTCATGAGGGGTTACTGAAGCCAGATCCCACTTGAGCTTGTTGAGAACCAGCAGCTCCATTTGCTGTGGACGGAGCAGAACAGAAGGAGTCACTCAAACTGATCCGTATACAGTACAAGTGTCTGTGGTGACATGTATTTATTCTAGAAGTTATTTTAGGTTTTAAAAGTTTTATCTAATCTGCTTTTTCTTAAAATGACATTTGACATCAAGTTTCTGTGTCCCCATCCCGTCCAAATGTATACAAACACAGTCATCCACAAAAACATATGCTGCAGTGTAGGAACATGAATAATTGAGATATGCTCCTTTGAAGGGGAGCACACAATAGAAGAAGACTGTGAGACTGACTGGAGCCAATGTTGGTTATTGGCAAGCATGTGCAGGTCTGTCCTATGACCACTAGGTGTTGCTGTGAACCAGTTTTTTCTTGGCAGCCACTGAAACCATTCATGAAATCAGAGCGGCCTCCAGCCACCATGGGAAAGTCATCCGCAGCCATTCAGACACTGCTGCACATTTCTGCTCTTAGTTCAACGTCATTTCAATACAGTTTCCTCCCTCCCACCCACCACGGTGACACTAACCAGATAAACTGCAAACATTAGGTATACTGTTCAGTGCATATTGTGCTGTATGTGTTATGCAACATCCAAGTGTGCAGAAGTCAATTACCAGCAGTTCCCCGGGCAGGACCGAGTTGTCCGTGTAAATACAGAGTTTCTCCGCCGTTAAGGGCACAGTCTCCTTCATTTTTGATGCTAGAAACATGCATGTGGCTCCGAGCAGCTGTAGTCTTGTTTTCCTGGTGGCCTCAACTGATAGAAATCTGTCCAAGTAGTTCATAGCGAGCGGAAAAACCTCCTCCTCACATTTCTGTTCCTCGCAGACCTGGGAGGGTAGACAAAGCTATTAGAGTATGCTTTTGCTCGGTTCCAGGAACTTCCAACTCATGTGCATTGCGGAGTCTTTGTCTCTGCGTCTTAATCCGTGCACAGCTGTTTGCGTTCAAGAGCCGCACTGACGACAAACGACATTAGAACAAATTACAGTCTGCACATTAAATATGTTTGAGTTGTTTCAATTTCCTCACCACTCTATTTAAAAAAACAAAACGTAATTTCAGACCACACCGGAATAATGGCAAGTTCACACGCAATGTATTTATTACGTAGTTTGGAGTGTTCAGCACAGAAAGCAGCCGAGAATTAGTTTGCAGTCAGTTCTGACTGAGACACAAAGGTGGCGTCCATGCAAGTTCCACACTCCAATTTCAACTTCGTCATCTTTTCAAAAAATATTTAGAAATATTTAAAAATTATCTGGCCGTGTTAAAATAGGATGTAAATGATCCTTATCGAATGACTAATCGGATGGGACACAAATGTACCCGACTACAGTCCAAGTGAATTCAAAAGAAAATGTTTTTTGCGACGGGCTTTCACGTGTTGCAGGCAGCACTTCCCCCGGCGCCCAGATGCACAATTTCAAAAATTAATAAAAAATACAAGACAGCACAGAATTCATTCCAAAACTACACGTAAATGTTTAAAAACATCTCAAGTATTAAAGCCGACTCCAAAACGTCATTTCTTCATTTTACGCTTTCTAAGAATATCCATTTTTCGTGGCGACCTTCACACGCAGCCCGGACCGTCGGCAAGCACAACAAAGTTTAGCAGCGGACAGCAGCTAAACGAGCGCCAGCAGGCACCGTGCAGCCGTCTCATCTTATACAGGCATTTCTTTGCGATATTACAAAGTTATTGTCATTTCTGTTGACATTATTGATTTTTAAAGATATTAAAATCTTCCTCCTGTACGACAACAAAGATGGCGCATAATACTGGCACAGAGCAGACTGCATACGTGTACATTGCTGTTATTTCGGAATATTTTTTCGATCTCGTCAACATTTAATGCAAGAAGCAAAAACATGCGGAATCCAAAGGAATAACTAAGAAAGGCAGCCGACTCGTGGTGGAAAGCGAGAGGCCGATCTCCGCTTATAGGTGAAGGACCACCCAGCACTCATCGGGACTTTTCAGAGCCTTTATGTAACATGCACAGTAAAATAGCAGACGGAGCCGCACAACTTTCATATAACGACCAATATGCCACCTTCGGGTGTACACAGAGGTTAAGCAAGCGACACGCCGTCGGGGAGTTGGAAGCTAAAAGTTAAAGTCAAATAAACCAACCTCCAACATCCAGGTGGCAACTATTTTTCGCATTTTTGGTACAATTTCTTTCTGAACACACTTGAAGTAGTTTGGCGAAGGCAAGTAGTTTTCTTCGGCCTTGAGCATGGTGTGTAGAACTCGGTCATTGAGCAGGTTGACGTCCTGGTAAGCTCTCCTGATTGAGTCCACCTCACAGCACAGCAGCTGGTCCTCCATAGTAGGCTAATTCTGCTTTGAGTATATTTATCACTGCCGATAAAACTTTCCTATCTCCGGGTTAAGACGTCACCGTGTAACAGTAAGAAGACGCCGGAGCACAGAAACCCACAGCCAGCTACTTTTCTCGCCACTTTCTTCTTACTGGGCTGCCGCTGCTGCGTGCTGTTACTCCGACTGTGTGCGCCAGCCCTCTGGAACAAACCACTTCGCACTGCGAGACAAAAACCCCTGCCTCGCGCTCACCAAACACGCACGAGAACACACACAAAGTTTATCAGCGAACACGCACGGCGGAGGAGATGACGTCAGCTGTTGTTAAGTGTTGGGGGTGGGCAGAGGCGGCAGGGGGTCGGATCAAAGAGATAAGCAGTCTGCAAAAGAGCGCGCGAGGAAGGGATTCTATTATAGCGCTATACATATATATAAGAAAGAGAAGGGAAGACCTCCCTCCTCGCGTCTCTCCCCCCTCCTCCTATAGCCTGGTACCTTCTAAAGAGGAGGTGGGAGGTCCGGGGTCAGGGAGACGTCTGTCCCTTTTGGAAAGGATATGCCAGGGGGTGGTTGCTTGTTATCAGTAGGGGGCGATAGAGGCTCACAGCCCTCTCTTTTCATATTGTACTTCCTCTGTCTGTGACTGAATGAAAGCAGAAGCTCTGAGCAAACATAAGGTGAGCACGTGGGACAACAGTGAGTTGCTGCTTTAGTCATTCACTTCTCTGACTCCATCTAGCATGGGAGAACACTGGAAAGAGTTTCCCAGATCAGGCTATAATAATCATAGCTCTATTATCAGCTGACTTAAAGGCCAGTTTTCTTTTTTCTTTAGCAGCACATACGTTGTATTATTGTAGGGTCTTTACTTTACCATATAAACCGCCCCGAGGCGACTGTTGTTGAGAATTAGGGCTGCTTAAATCAAACTGAATTTAACTGAATAGCTTCAGTACAATTCTGTTAGCACTGAACAGTGTAATCATATGTGTGTGTGTACCTCAGTATAATAAAATGTTAGGAAAATAGTCAAGATTAAAGACTTTCCCGACTCTCTCTCTCTCTCTCACACACACACACACACACACACACACACACACACACACACACACACACAAACGGGAGGAGACTGGCGTTAAACCAATGGGAGGAATTGCTGTTACTAGGCAGATGTTGGTGTATCTTTTCATGTAGGGAAAAGTTCAGTGCACTGGAAAACTTGACATTGCTATTGATAATCCAATCAAAGTCCTTTGACACAGTCTTTTAAAATAAACAATACAGACGTTTACTACCGACGGTATTTTGTTCACCAGAACCACCAGGAAACAATTTAGATCAAGTTATTAATGGAGCCATGCAGAGATGTATATTCTGACTTTTGCAGCTTGATGAAAACTATGAAAGTGTATTTAGCTGCTTAAGTTAAAAATTAAATGGGCACTCTGTGCACATTTTAATCTATTTTCAATATGCATTGGAGCTTTTCACATTCCTGAAATTCCTGTCTGAGCTAGTGGGTACCGTAATGCCTGAAGCAGACTTCACCTCCGTGGACAAAGCAAGAAGTCACATTAGGAGCGTATCTGCACTCTGCTGTGGCTTCGAATGAGCGTATAAATGTACGAATAAATGATTCTGTTGTGTAAAACCTGTATCCATCTATTCAGAAATGTTTCACAGATTGGCTCTTTTTTTCAAACACTTATTTGTGTATTACTTCCACTGGCCTTTGCTGTATACTTTAATATATATTATACTCTGTATTGTTGTTTTATTGTAGCTGCTTTGTAACTGAATCATGCTAGTAATCCATTTCAGTGGTGAATTGCTGGTTACCAATTTGAGCTTTACTGTTTTATTTATAGTGTGTGCATGTCACCTGTAAAGCTTTTATCATTGTTTTATATCGTATTTTTACCATGATGTCATTCAAGTCCACGTTGTTATTATGTATACTCTGCAGACACAGATGCTAATAAAACTGATGAATGATTGTAGTCTGCTTCACTGACAGCCATTTGTGTCTCTTCAGCCCCTCGTGCACAGTCAGATACGGGTTTTCTCAGGGAAACAAAGAGAGCTGGAGCATGTGACTTTTGCTGTGAGGCTCTTCTAGCAGCTTTATGGTAACAGGGAGGGGTGTTTAAAGGGACAGTGGAGGGTGACATGACACCAGCATACGTACTGATTCAGACTATCCCACTACTGCACAGCCCATGGCATATAGCCCATTGCTATATGCAATTTACCATATCAAGGCCACGGCTTGATAATGTGGATTCAAACATATAGCAATAAACTATTAATGGCATCCACCCATTCTCTTGAACGTCATCTTTGGCAGGACGTGTGGCATAAGATATCCATCTTTAACTCTCTGTTGACACATATAACCAAACTCATCTGTTGGGGTGTTTATCAGCAAGATTAAACACAATGACCAGGCCTTTCATGATAATTAGTGGAGAGGTTAAGCATGGGTAAATGACGGCCCCATCACATGTTTGTGTTGATCACGTTCTTCAACATTGCAATGTGAGATGTGGATATTCTTTTAGCTAATGATGCAGTAAACTGGCATTTATTAGTTTCCCAGAAGTATACAAATTCACAACGAACCCTGTAATTGAAACTGTATGCAGATATTTATTAATCAATGATAAAGACGCTGAAGGTGATGGAAATACGTTGGTGCATTTACAGAGTGTCTGTGTATCTGCGTGTGTGTGCTCATTTCTGTCCTCCAACTCACACCCTCCCCCATGCCGTTTGTACTTCTCAGCTTTCTGTCATGTGGGGCACTTTTTGCATAATGCTGAAACCTTTAGAGATGAACTGTATAAGGCCGTATTCCTTCACATTAATATGCATGCTCATAGATAACACAGTCATACTATTGCACACCTAGATGTGCCACATTGAGGTAAACTTTTGTCTGTGATGTGGTGTGTTTTTCTGAGATTTTCTTTTACTCGTGTGTGGTTGATTATCTTTCCTATTCTGTGCAATTTTTGCATAACTGTGGCATACTCAGAAACTTTGGTCTGGTGCATGTTGAACATTTTTGTAGTGCAGTTGGTTCACTTACAGCAAAGTTAATATCTATCCGTCTGTGACGAGGAATCAAAGCTTTGAAGTAATAATGTGTGTTTGTGTGTGAGAAGGCTTGCCTCACACAGAGAAGTAGGAGAGTTTTCTTTTTCCATCTGAATGAAATTCCTTTCTTAGCTGAGGGCAGGGCCACAATGACCCTGCAAAGATGGATAGGGAGACTGTCCTGTGAAGTGATCCGTTAAACCAGACAGACGGAGGTCATTCTGTGTGTTTGTGTCTGTGAGTGTCCACCATTTGCACCATAACTGACCTAACAGCACCTGGTTTCTAGCTGGATGAGTGACAGACATTTAGGACCAAGGGCAAGGATAACAGGAAAACCCCCCTGGTGTGATGAATCAGTAGGTGTTTGGGAACGGCATAAAAGTAAAGAGAAATGCATGCAACCTATACCCCCCTCCCCCTCTCTGTCTCTCACAGGCACACACACACACACACACACACACACACACACACACACACACACACACACACACACACACACACACACACACAC